GCTAATCTGATCCCAGTAAAAACAATGAAAACAGCAGAATCAGACTCGTTTATCCCCAGTGCCACCTTCAAAACAAATCAGGGCAGTTTTTAGGCCAGTTATTTTGAAGCATTAAATTTCAGAGGTCACATTGATGTGAAACTTAAACAGATTCATCCCAGATTTAAAGGTTTCTGACTTTGCACCAAAATGAGGCTTAAATGCCTTTTTTGCCTCAGGAAGTCAAACTGAATGTTGTATTTTTGTTGCAGGAACGTTGTTCTTCTGTTCTCTCTGTTCATCGTGCTGGTTGAGGGAGACATCGACTCCAGCGGTGGGGTTAAAAGTCATCTGTCTCTTCTGAATGACAATCTGAGTAAAATGTCACTGATGAACCTGCCTGTCCTCATGAAAGTGTTTCTTCACTTTGCAGATGCTGGAATACACGCCACATCGACAGGTAAATACCTCTGTGCTTTCTCACCACTCTCTATTATATCTCTGTACTATCTCACCTGTTCGCCTTCTCACCTGTTTTTGTCTCACATGTATAATATTTTACCTCTCTCTGTCAGACAAAGATTCTACATCTGATGAAGCTCCTACAGGTTAGTATGTGTGGGGTTCGGTATGTGTGAATAATTTCTCGATTAAAATGGCTCAGTTCTTTGGTTTTATGTGAAGAATATTTATTATTTAATATATTGTAACACCAGGAGGTGGTGGTTAGCACTCTTGCCTCACAGCAAGATGGTCCTGAGTTTGACTCTTGAGTTTCTGTGTGGAGTTTGCATGTTTTCCCCATGTTTGTCTCTCTGGGTACTCCAGCTTCCTCCTACAGTCCAAAGACATGCAGTTAGTGGGGTTTATTGATGATTGTGGGAATGTGAGTGTGAATGGTTGTCCGCCTCTATGTGTTAGTCCTGAAACAGATTGGCGACCTGTCCAGGGTTTATATCGCCTCTCACACTATGACAGCTGGAATAGGCTCCCTCATGACCCTGATAAGGATAAGTGGAAGAGAATGCATGTAGAGACAGGTGATGAATCAGGGAACAGGTGTGCAAACACAAAGTCTAACCCTGACTGCTTAAAAACTGTCAAGTGAAACCTTGAATTACTTTTCTGCTCATGTGGAGCACATCCATGAAACTGAGACATACCTGATACAAACATGGCAGAATTAGTGCCCCCCAGCAGGGCTGATCATCGGCATCATTTCTGAATGAAGATTTTCTGAATGAAGTGTTGTTGTTGTTTCAGAGAGCATAAACGCCATCTCTCCTGATCACCCTGGTAAGAATCTCTGTTATTTTGAACTCAGACACAGCTGGAAAACACCTTTAAGCTCATGATATCAGTGTACGGAGTGTTAAAGTCTCGGTGAGAACAGAAATGGTCAGACTCCACCAACTTTGTGTATCCTGATCGACAATGTTAGGGTGAGTGAATCTAGACAACAGAAAGTATACTGAGTATACTGAACTGCCTTCATAGTACACCTGAGCTCATAGTTCTCCACAGAACTATGAGCTCAGGCACAGGCCTGAGCTCATTGTCCTGTGCTTCTCTGACATTTAACAACTGATGTGAGCAAGT